AGCTGTGGTGCTTTTAAAGAAGTGGGATTTCTCTTTTCCACACTTTATCCATATTTTTAACAAACACTACTGGAAGCAGGTTGACATTAGTTTGAGCCAGGGCTCATAGAAAATAGAAATATATGTATAAAATATATGTATAAAAATATTTCTAAATAAATAAAAGGCATGTGGGAAATTAGAAAAAATATAAGGATTGGAAAGGCATGAGTGATTATCTCCCCCTACAGACACACACACACACACAAACATACACACACATATAGAAAATAGAAATATATGTATAAAATATATGTATAAAAATATTTCTAAATAAATAAAAGGCATGTGGGAAATTAGAAAAAATATAAGGATTGGAAAGGCATGAGTGATTATCTCCCCCTACAGACACACACACACACACAAACATTCACACACATACACACACACACACACACACACACACACACTTTAAAAAACTTACCTTTGGCTCCTTAAAGTTATCTATGCATAAGTAATTTTCTTGATAGCACTGTATAATAACAAAAGGAACACATACAAAACTGTAAACAGATGCATAGGAGGCATTTGCAGTTTTGAAGTAAAAAGCAATCTTCAAATAAAGATGCTAAGTGTTTGGGAGAGAAGGTAATTTATAACTTCTGCTGTGTCCTTGAACGAAAGATGCGGCAAAGTATTTGTTGATTTAATTGTAGAATCTGGTCAGGGTTTCATTTTAAAAGAAAAGAATTTGCCGGAGTTGTTTGGTGTGGCTGGGACAAGCTATTGAAGACGAGAAGCTAAATCAGCCTGCTGAGTCCAGGTTCTTCACCTTTTGGACCAATAAAACTCTCAGTGGCTTGTTCTTACCTCCTTAGAAAAATAATGTTTCATGAAAACTTTGGATATTTTACAACATGAAAATGAAAGTACAACTCTTAAGCTTAATGGGGAATGATGATGTACTTCTTGGTGAGAATTAGTATCCTTAAATTAGCTTGGAGATTGCCCAAAATTTAAAAGGTGGGCTGAGCCATTTGACCTTAGCAATACTTCATTAATTTTCAGACGCATTTGAATTGTTTCTCCGTAGCAACATTCACAAGCAATTTGTTTTCCTTTAGGCCTCTCATACAAAAAAATTATAAATCCGTAAAACAATAGTTTAGGGTAGAGAAACTAAAGAGAGGCCTTTTTGTTTATTCACTGACAATTTGAATTCAGATATCTGATGGCAAGAGGCTTTAATCCAGCCACCAATGACAATACCACCTTTTGAGCTTTATTTACTTAAATTAAAAGGTATTTCTTAATTAAAAAAAAAAGAGAGAGAGAGAGACTTTAAGCTCTCCTTTATCTCAGTCTCTCCTTTGGGTAGATTATGGAAACATTCAAAGGTTATTGATCCTAGCCCCTGTCACCCCACCCCCACTGGGAGTTCACAGTTTAATCCCTAAAGCCAGGTGATAAATACCCCATTTACCAAGGCAACTGTGAATTAAAGTCTATGCTATCAAAATCACCTCCAGTAACTTTAGTAAAAAATGCTTCAAAGTGGACTGGACTTCCAACACTTGAAAAGTAAGAAACTGCTTTTCAAAGTGTGGTGTTTTTCCACTGTCCTCATCAGTTCCCTAGGGAAATTCCAAGGAGAAGAGACCAGGGATAAAGAGCTTTCTGTATTTCTCTTGGTTTTAACTGCTAAAACAATTTTTGTTCCATTAGGTTTGTAATGTGAGATCTTTCAGAGTGAATTTACACAACAGCCTCTGACTTTATTAATTCGTCACAAGTAACTTAGTCCTCACATGTCTAAAAACAAATTGCTGACTTCTCACAAATTCCATCATCTACTTACACACTGCCTTGAAAATTGTTAACTGTAAAATTATTCCAGGATGACAAAGACCATTGAGCTAGCATGGTATATATGTATACGTGTGGCATGCAATAATTACTCACTCATCTTTCCAGGGTTCTACTCAGGTTTAGTCCTACATCAATTTAATCTACAAGATTTAGGAAGCTAAACACAATTTGAAATAGCCCCTGAGAGGCCATCTGGCCACTAGCCACCAGATAGAATGAATCCCTGAAAAGTCTTGAGGAATGACAAATGCCTCGAGGTATTATCTAACTGCTTACCCAAAGTTATCTCCAAAGATGGCTCGCCAATGCCTTTCCGGTTACTGTTTTTTGTATTCAGAGAATGGGGAAAGTTTGTAGAAATATGGCTGGTAGGCCTCCCTTAGTAATAACTACTTTGAAACTCCCCAAAGCAGATCCATTGGAAAATTGCTGCCTTGATACAAGAATTATACCCCTATCTGGTTAAACTCAGCTTGCCACCTTCCCAATTCTATTTCCGAATTTATGGGATGGCAGACAAGGGCACGTGAATTTCACCACTGCGCTGCAGAATGGTGTAGCGTTAGCAAATTAGCAAGGATGTGTTTAGAGTCTAAAACTATACCCCAAATAAAGAGGTGTAGAAATTTGAAAGAGCATTTAATTTCATTATTTCACTGGCTCACAAATTCTCAGATCAGCAATCTGCCTTTTTAAGTCAGCAGAATGAGTGTGAGTGACAGAATGAATTGGGTAGAGGGAAGGGGAATGAGTTGGTTTCTGGAGCGGTAATTTTTTTCCATTACAACTGTGATCCACAGAGTAACTAACTAACTTAACTTTGTCCAGGGAAATTAAATGGATTTTTCATTAGCTAACCCCCTCTCCAGCAAAACTCACAGTCTCCAAAACCATAGTACTTGTTTGGCATGCATCAATCAGACACAAACTATTCAAGCAGGTTTGAAACATTATCTGTCACTTAAATTGGCTTTTGGTTTTCTCAATAGAATAACCATCCAGAGCAGCTGAAACTCTTGAGAGAACTTCAATATGCCAAAAAACAAAAAACAAACCAAAAACAAAAACAAAAAGGTATATAAAATTAAAATGTTCTTATCAGTAGCCATGTGGATTATTCCAAAAGGAAATAATTACAAACCAACATAATTGGTAGATATGAGGCTAAATGCAGTAAAAAGAAAATAAAAATACAAAATACGGTCTGCAGGTGACTGAAGGGCCTGCAAATCTTAAATATACAAAGATCTGAAATATGAAAAAGTAAAAATATCCACTGCGTAAGTGACAGGCATTAAGTTCTTAAATTTTGAGGCATGTTAGGCCACTCCACTTTACCCAAGACTCTTGTGTATATTAATAGAAATGGCTACTATATCTCCTCCAATAATCTCATAAAGTATTATCCTTGCCCCCATTTTATAGGTAACAAAACTGAGTTTCAAAGAGCTTGTCACTTGTCCAAGTTCACATAGCTTGTAGGGACAAAGGCAGCATCTGAACCCAGGCTGAGTCTTCGAAGTGACCTTGACCGCTACTCTGTATGAGTTCAGCCTCATACTGTGTAACTTTTGGAGGTTTAAAGTTATTTAGGATGAGACAGAGAAGAGGACCAATTAGAGATAAGGAAAAAAAGCCATCCAGCCCCTAAAAGGCTAGTCCCAGACTCATGATACTAGATCCCACTGCTTTCAAGCTTTTAGCCTATAATCAACCCATATTGAAACCAGATTTACGAGCTCTTCAGAGGAGAGCTTTGTGATTTTCTAAAGCAGACATGTTTGGTATTTTAGAAGGTTGAACCCCCTATGGTGCAGTGTTTTTAATAAAATCAGTTCAGCAGAAATTAGAGACACACCAGTCAATTTCTAGGAAGCCTCTGAGCCATTCAAAATAAGGGGGGAAATATCATAAAAGACAGAACCATGTATAGATCAATTTTTTTCAAAAGAGGTAGAATGTAAGGGGCGTAGATACAGAAATGTGGCAAATTTGGTCCCATTTGTCTCTGGTTTGGGCAAATTTCCACTTAGAAGGGAAAATTACTTTGGGGCGGGGGAAGCTTTATGTCTTGTAGTAAACAAGAGCTGTTCCTGGTTAACCAGGACTTGCACTGACACCTGAAAGTAACAGTAAACATCACTATGAGGGAAAAACAAGTAAATCAGTCATTACCATTCTTACATCACTGAATCAGGTAAGTAGTTATTTCATGAAAGGTCCTTTATCTCTGCTCTTGGCAACTTCCACACTCTCATAGGAAAGCTAAAGAATCCATATTTAGTTCTTCGTAAAAATCAAAGTAGAGAAGCACGCAATATTTTCATTGAAAGGCCAAGTTATGCGTAGATCTGACTTTAAGACTTGTGGCAAGGACATGTGCAAACACTAAATGAATAAGAGGATATTAAAAGAGGATTTATTAGCAAAAGAGTCAAGCCAGTCTATTAAGTGGCTCGAACTTGAGCCCCAGAACTCAGTTTGACAGAGAAAGCATGGGCGTAGTGCCCCCATCCCATCAACAGGGAGATGTAAACAGCCTTATGAATTTACAGTGGGAAGAACAAGATGCAGGTCAGCAAAACACAGAACCAAGTGGACACTTTGCATTCATCTTCCATCAAATTTCTATGATTTTAGCTCTAGCCTGGATCCAGGCCTATCCTGGAGCATGGGGTTTACTGATTTCAAAGTGCTTCAAAGCATGTGAATTTATATTTTTCATTGCTTTATTTCCTAATAAATTGCTAAGTTCTTAGTTAACTGGTACTTGAAAGAAATGAGGTGAATAGAGAATGACAGCAGGGCAAGCAGAAAATTAACCATACAGAACTGATACAAAGGCTGGCTATTTAAAGAATAACTGAGCTTGCATGATGCTGTACATGAAAAGGTGTAAGAAACAAGAAGTCTTTCGATCCTAAATGGCAAAACTACCCTATCTGATTTAGAGCTAGAAAGCAGAGGGGAGGAGTGGAAATTTCACCAACGGCATTTTAATCAATTCTCTTCTCTAGATAGGTTTGGATAGTGAGGTACAACAATCCTTTAGCTCCATCAAAAACTAACACGCATAAAACTTAACACCTTATATAAATTGTAAGTCATGCATGCACGAACTGTCAATCTCAAAAAGCACAAAACAAATGCTGTCATTTATTAAAATGTGTATTTATTCCATAGCCTAATTTGTTTGGGGCAGTGGCCTTTTGATTATTAAATAATCTAGGTATTCATTTTCAAACTAGTCCTTTCAATTCCATTTCTTCCATGAATTGGGCTACTGCATCTAAGGGATCCAAATTATTCTTATAAAAAATTGCAGAAAATCTTTTTTTCAAAATCCTTTAACACTCATAAAAGAAAACTTCATACTCATATATGCAGGCTAGAGGTTAATTTTTAAGCTAAAGTTTCAAATATACAAAAGAATGAAGGGAAAAAACCCTATATGACAAATTATTGTCATATTTAAGATAATAAAAGACCCATTCTGGAGGGAAAAGTACACAAATGTGGCATGGGTTTAAATTCAGGCTGGGCAGAGTTGCAGACAAGGTTTTACAGGAATGGGAACGGGTTAGTGGCTAAAGTCAATGTTCTATTTGGTTATGTTAATAAAAGGATCATTTGGGGGAGGTAAACTAGTAGCATTGTGTTATTTAAATCTGTTAATATATAATGTTCACAATTATAAACCTTCTAAAAATTGAGAAGTAAAAAGTAAAATATAATGTTAATAGAACACTGTGTTGAAGGAAGTTGTGAAAACTGGGAGCATGGTACAGTAAAGTGTAGCTAACTTGGTTTGAGACAGAGTAAATAGTAGAAGACAGTGACTAACTTTAACAACAAAAAAAAGTTTCGTTTAGTAGGGGTTTTTTTACTGGTTGGAGGTAGACACATTTAAAAAAGTATTCCAGAGCAACTGGATCAAATTGATAAATAACAGTACTTTTGTTAAGGCAACTTCAGAAACTGATCGATATCTGACCTGGTATAAATACGCTTAAGATTTCTCTTAGATGAAAGCTAAAAACCAAAATGGTCCGAACAAAAAATGTGGGTAAGACACTGAAGGATGGGCAGTACATTTAGAAATTCTACATGCTGTAAAAAAATTATACATGAGCATGTAAGAATAAACAAGATCTTGGTCTTGTTTTTTTAAAAAAAAAAAAAAAAAGAAAGAAAAGAAAAAATCAGGCCAAAACCTATAGTTAGATCCTACTATGAGCAACAGATCTTCATGTGTATAATTAACATGTAGTTTCTTACTTCCCACTTAGTTTTTAATTTATGACAAGACACTGCTAAATTTCAGACAAAATATATATATATATTTAAATCTTTACAATAAATCAAGATGTAGGAGCTTACATAGAGCACATTTTGGTTTATTTAGGTACTCATTCCAGCTCCCTCAGATGCAAATCACCCTGGTAACAGTGTGTGTACATAGTCTTCTCTTTGCTTTTTATAATTTCAAAGCAAATAATACATTTGACTGTATGTAAGTCTGTGCAAATAATCCTTCAGAAGAAACATCCAAGATTCTGTTTGCAGAGGTCATTTTGTCTCTCAAAGATGATCACATGAGTTTGTTTTTCTTCAGATAAAGTGCTCCTGTCCAGCAGAACTCAAAGGCCTTCAAGCATCCAAGAAGCTCGGTTCAGATAAGACGAGGTCATACGAATTCCAGCTTCCCGTGCCCACTATACATGCCCCAGTGAACAAGCGAGAGGATCTTGTCGTTGCTGAGGTCTGCTTGTCTCATTTTGTCACAGGTCAGACAGCAGTTCTCATGCCCACTCACTGGCACCATGCATTCCAAGTCCAATTTTGCAACCTGCCCCTTTTTGGAATGGTGTCCGTGAAAGCTGTAGTGCAAACGGGAGAGCATCTGCTGCCGCTGGTCCTGCAGTCTCTTGTTTTCACTTCGAAGCATCCTCAAGGCCAACATAATAAGCAACACTAAAATCAGCCCTCCGGCGATGGGAACGGCAATCACGGCGGCCCGGAACCACAACTCTTTGGAAGAAGTCAGCTCCTGCACTTTGGTGATGAGGTTTCTGCTACTGTCGTGCTGATACCGGTTCCCTTGTCCTAAAGGAGCAGGAGCAAAATGATCAATCTATGCTAAGCCCTCCTACGGACATTCGTGATTACCTCCCCATTTTAAACAAGGCACCCCATTAAAAAGCTTACACTTAAGAAAATAAATGTTGCAAAAAAGCTTACAAAAACGTTTGTTTACTGACCGTCATTACTAAGTAGTAATGGTCATTTAATATTTTCTAAATGTTGAAAAACCAGGCAAAACCTATTACACAGACAGATATCTAATGCTCAGGCAGACGTAAAAGCTACTCAATAGAGATGCATCTTCGCATCCAGCCTGGTGTCTCTAATTACATTAACAACAAAATCAATAGCAGACATACAAAGTCACGTCTGTCACTAGCCTATAGATCAGGCAAGCATTTGGGTTAGAAAGGGCTTCCACCTACCTGAGGCCTCCCCCTTGGGAAGAGAGAGTACATCATGCAGCCCTCTGTAATTGCACATATCTTCATGACAGCATTCCAAAGTGGGCATGGTGGTGCCAGAGTGGTTTTGTGCCTGTTTGGCTTGGCAGATGTCTGCTGTGCTTGCCAGAGAGTCCAGGCAGCCATGGGTGAGTGGAGAATTTGTGTTCTGAGGATCCAGAAGTCTAGAGAAGCAAGCGCTCAGCTCAGATTTACACATATAGCCAGTTGCTACGCAGTGGGCAGCGTCACAGTAGCATCTGATTTCACCTGAAAACAATGAGAAATTGCGTCAAACTACTTCAGAGACCAGATAAAGCATCTGCTTAAGCAATCCCTAAACCCCAAGCTCAAAGGCACTAACTTTTAGAACACTCGGCTGAACAGCAGGCCATGTAGACTGGAAAAGCCCTTTGTGCAAATCAGTGTTGAAATGTCAATCCAGTTAAATATAATTTTAGAAATGTATTAATCCTAATAGCAGAGAATCAAAGTTCGATTTAGGTTTCTGATAAATTAGTGCGTAATTAAAAATAATATTTTTATTTTCGAAAGAAAATAATAATCACAATAATTTCTCCTACCATAAGGCAAATTACGTTATTTATTCAGTTTAATCCTATATGACCATACAACATAAAAATGCTCGGCTTTTTGATTTTGTCAGTATAAATATTTGATCGGAACTACTGAATTGTTTACTACCTCGAAGGGCTGTGCCAAGATTTAAGAGCTTTAGCTAACACCTTATAAAGTTATTAACTAGAAACACAACAATCTAGAAATTGCTCCAGTCAGGAGGTTTTAAAACTATGAAACTGGGCAGCTATTTGCAACCTCTCTAGAAAAGGCAAACTTTGCCTATAAAGATCTTTTCATGCAGAGGAGCTTTTAGTCAGTATATTGTAAAACAGGAACTAGGCAGTTTACAATTAGTGGTTTGCTTGCCAAAGTCAATTTCTTTCAGCCCAAATGGAAAGTCATAAAACTGGGGGCGGAGGGGAGGGTGTAAAACTGCAAGGCTAACTCCTCCGTCCCCCTGACTCCCCAGTTTTACATGTAATTCAACATGGGATCTAAAAGGGGAAACGCTGAAACTGAAAATCCTCTGCTGGTTGAATGAAAAATCCTTAAGGAAACCTCAAATTTTTCTACAGGAAGTGATTAAAAGTTTCCTTTATAAAACTTATTTTGTGAGTTGCACGTCACTGTTAACATTTTGCGGCAATGCAAGATCTGAGGCTTTTAACATCAATTTTTCGTTAAATAATCTGGGTCTCGGAGTAATCGCTAATATGATATCTGACCCGGTGGACTCCGGTCATTGTCACATGGCACAGCTAAAGCTAACGTTAAGTTGAACTAATGCACACACTTCTTCCCAGCTTCCCAGCCTGAAGTTCTGTCTAGTGAACTGAGACCTCCGCTCTGAAATTGAATACCTCTTCCCACCCTCACCTTTCTTCCTCCACCTCCTCTACATGAATGCCTGAGTAAGGTGCCTCATTTAATTATCTGTCCAAATTCCAAGCCACTGTATGGTATGCTCAGTTTTCACCAGAGGCTGCTAATGCTTGGGTTCTAAAAAGACCAGCCAACAAAACACAGGTCTTTGGCAGCCCTGAGTGTAACTGTCCAAGCTGGAGGTCTCACTCCTATCCTAAATCTGCGCTCCCTGTCCTAGGTCTGGGCCCAAGTCTCTTCTCCAATGAGACCTTCAAGTTAGGACCCTGCTTTGCAGAGGTTTTCTTCTCTTCAGTTTATTTGATTTTTCACATAAAGCTCACCAGTCTCATGTGATGACTACATGTCCCTAGTCTGACAAATTCCATATATAGAGTAGAATAAAAACAGATTAAGTCAACTTTGATCTGGTTCACCTCAGACCTAGTGCAGAAAAAGAAAACTGAATACAAGTAAAATGCTGCTTAAATGTTTATGAGAGCCTATTTAACATACTATATTTTCAATGACCTAAAATAGTCTAATAAAATTTTGACAGGTAACTAGGAAAGTTCTAACAACTTTTTTTTTTTAATTGGAGCCACATTTGAGCAAGTTGAATGAACTTCTGTATTACTGTATTAAAACTATATTCCTGTCGTTTCATAAAGTTTCTTCCTGTGGCATGCAAAAGGCCAGAAAGGGGACTGGTATTTTGAAACAGTGAACAATGCTCTTCTGTTTTCCCCCCTTTCTTGTTACTGTATGTAGTGATTAAACAAAAATGTCTGCTTTAGTCAAGATGGCTACAGGAGAGACTGCTGGCTTCTTTTAAAGCTTTTGAAGTCCGCAGCAGGCAGAAATCTCTGATCCCCTAATTATATCATTATCAGGCACATAGTTTCGGTATCTGTGACTTCATGTCAGCCTCAGTCCCTCCCAGTTCTGCTAGCCTTTGATAGGGCCAGGACGCTCCCCTCTGCAGGCTGCGAGGGCTGTTATTTAGGGTTAATTACACCCTTCCTTCCAAAATAAATAAATACTGTAGCACATCATCCTTGCTGGGCTAGCTTATCCTTTAACCTCATGCCTGATACATGGCAATTAGAGAAAAGTGGGGGGTGCAAAAGCTAAATAACGCTTCCTATCTTAAAAAAATTTCTGTTCACTGAACAGTAGGTAGAGTTCATGGCAGGGTAGGTGGAGGAACCTTGAAATCTAGAGGGAGTTTGGGTTATTTCAACATAAAAGGCGAAAGCCTGCACGCGGGGGAAAAAAGAAACTGACCACTGCCTTTTTTTTTCTTGAGTGTTTGTAAAATACGAGGTGAGTGGGAAATGAGACCGCTGACAGCGCCTACTCCTCCCGGCCACTGTGAAGCAACACAGCACATACTCATGCACAATGAACACAGACCCGGGACACCTACACACTCAGGGAGGCACACACATTCACTAGCTCATAAAGACACTCAGAGACACACAAAGAAACTCAAGGACAGAAGCACATTCAAATACAGAGACAGACGAATACAGAGATATACTCTAACACAGACACAAAAGAGACACCGGCAGAGACACATTCAAATTCACAGACACATTTAAATACACTGATATACTCAAAATATAGAGATAGATTCAAAAACAGAGACACTCACAACAGAGAAACACATTCACAGAGGCACACTCAAATTCAGACACACTCAAACACAGAGACACAACAGAGGCAAGTCGGACAGAGACACTCGGGCACCGAAAGATACTCAAATAGAGATGTACTCACAGACAGCGGTACACAGATATACGGATGGACACACGGACGGACGGAAACACACACACTCAGGAGCTGCGCAGCTGGGGGAAGGGGTCTGCGGTTCCTCCGGGACGCCCCCGCCCTGCGGTGGGGAGGGAGGCGCGGTCCGAGCCCGCACTACAACCCTGATCCCCGGCCGCCAACTTTCAGAAGTTCACTACAGACAGACTTACACAAACATTTTGACAACCACTTGCCCTGAGGTCTGACGCCACCTACACGCGCCGGGCCCTGGACACCCGAGGGGGCGGCCGCGAAGCCACCGCCGCGACTTCTAAGAACAGGCAACTTGTCGCGACCTGCGGGCTCCAGCGCGGGAGGAAGCCTCGCCCGCCGCCAACAAAGCCTTGGCAGTTGGCTTCAAAGGCCCGAGGCGGCGGCCGCCCCGGGACCCCGTGCTCCCCTCCGCAGGGAGCCCGCGCCCAGGCTGACCGGTGGGCACCCACCTTTGGTGAGCAGCACGGCCATGGCGCAGAGTTCGAGCTGCAGCCAGATGAAGATGTAGCTGGAATGGCGATCCATTGACGCCCCCCACGGCCGCGGCGCCCCCGCCGGACCCGGAGCCGCGGCGCAGCTGCAGCCTACGACTCTCGGAGCGCGCCGTGCATGGGTGCTGCCCGGGGCGGCGGGCGCCGTCAGCGACGGGGCGAGTGGCCCGGACGCGGCCGGAGCATGGAGTGCGGCTGCAGGGCGCGCCGAGAGGCCGAGAGGACCTGCGCTCACTGCCTGCGTGCACCAGCTCCTTCGCTGCGCGGCACGCCGCAGTCCTGGGTGGGCTCTCGGTTTCACTCCTCTTCGGTCGGCCACTCTGCGAAGG